CAGCCAGCCTGGGCCCAGTTGGGTCCTGAGAGCCCTTAGTAGATTGGCCCCAATGTGGACAGAACCCTGGAGCACAGGTAACAGAAGTTAGAATTATTGAAAACAGTAAAAATCTGGCTACCTCATTTCTGGGCCTGCCCATGCCTAGGGGCCACCAACCCACACCCCCTCCCCTCCACCTGTTCATTTCTGCTGAGGTTGGAGGACCTGAGTTCTTCCTTAGAGTAGTGACACCAGGAATGGTGAACCTGTCACTACTGCCAAGGGGTCCTCAGGAGACACCCAGTGTGAACAAGCTGACCATGGGGAAAGCCTGGCTTCCTCTGCTGAGAGACCACTCTGCCCAGGACTTTCTTCATAGGTGTACAGGCTACTGCCCACTACCTGACACCTTTGGATGTCAGTCCCCAGTGTGGACAGGGACAGAGGTGCAGAGTTGTTGGGAGCATCAAGCCCCTGCTGCTTTAGGCCTGCCTTCCTGCTGACAAGCTGGCCACTGGCCAGGGTGTGTGAGGAATCAGGCTTTGGAGTTTTGAGGGAGCGCATGCCTAGCTCTCTGTTGCCATGGCCACCAGGCACCCCGCATTTACTCCCCACCATAGCTCCCCCCCCCCCCCGCTGTCCTCTTTGATTCTTAACAGGGGTAAAATCTGCACCCCAAGGTCACAGAGCTCTTAAGTGGTAAAACCAGTGTTCCAAGTTTGTGCATCTGTGAGTTCCAAGGTTTCTAATGTGACCACAGTTCTTCCAAAGGATTTCTAGGGTCTGCTGGGAGTGACGATGCACAGCCACGGCAGGCAAGCTACAGAGCTATATCATGACAGACGCTGCTTTCTCAGGGGAACGTTATGTGGAATTAACCTGCTGGAGGTCTTGGAGGTAGCCAAGACCTGTCAGCAAAGGAAAGCTTAGTGTACTTGGGTTTTTCGGAGGTCTTTGGCAAGCTTCTGTGATCCCCAGTTTTTCCATTCTTTGAAAAGATGGAATTGCTTCACTGTGGCTTGGCAGGAAACACTGTCACACACAGGAGTCTGTGGGGAGAGGAAGTGGTTCCTGGTGATGGACATGGACTTTTCTGGATGGAGAATTGTGAACAGCGGAGTCTCTCGCGGGGATGGGTGAGGAATGGTCCTAGCTCATATCCTTTTAAAGAAAGATCTGGAAGAGGAAATGTGTAGTGAAAACTCCAAATCTACAAGGCCTTCTGGGGAATGGCAAGCCCAGTTAATGGAGCGTTCCTCACTTTGGTTCCCAGTTATTGCTTGCGACAGCACTTGGTAGCTGGTTTGCCATGTGACACAGTGGTCCATTGGGCACATGTCCATCGTGTGTCCGTTGCGTGTCCGGACACAGTCACATGTGTGGTATTATTCTGCTTTTAAAAAGTGAGATTACATAGCTAAAGCTTGGAAGCAGCCCAAGTGCCCATCAACTGGAAACTGGATAAAGAAGATGTGGTTTTTTTATAAAATGGAGTACTACTCAGCCATAAAGAATGAGAAACTAGAGTCATTTATAGCTAAATGGATGCACATTGAGGTCATACTCTTAAGTGAAATAAATAGGACACACGTGTAAATACCGAATAGTTTCTCTAGTGTGAGAAACTGAAAGTGTAAATAAGGATTAAAATGATTAAAATGAATAACTGATAATTTGAAATAGAAAAAGGTCCAAAGATGTAGGGGTGGTGGGAGGGGAAGGGGAAAGGGAAGAAGAGAAAGGAAAAATTATGAGAAAAGAAAAAAATGGAAATGAAATCTATGTAAATAGGGAAGGATGAAATCTATGTAAATAGGGAAGGGTGGAGGGGGTGAAGGGTGCACAGGTAATGGGGAAAAAATAAGAACCAAGATACATCATGTACAGGTTCAAGTACCCAATGATAAATGTAAACGTTATTTATACCTAAAATGTACCAATAAAAGAATTTTTTTAAAAAAGTAAGATTACAATTCTAACACAGGTTTGCTTTATTTACTGTTGGATTATGGAAATCACTATGCAAAGAACCATTTCATTCTTTTTATTTTATTATTATTATTATTATTATTGTACCAGGGATTGAACTTTGGTCCTTGTGCTTGTGCAGCAGGTGGCGATACCACTGAGCTAAGTCTCTGGCCCCATTTCACTCTTTTTAATGAGACATTTCTTCACACAGTGACTGTGTATTAATCAGTTCCTTCTCATTGGGTATTTTTGTTATTTTTGGATTCCAAATAATATAACAGGCCTTAAACATCCTCATGTTTAGATATCTGCACTTAGGACAAGTGTTTCTAAGGATGGTCACCCGGAAGGAAAATTACTGTGTTGAAGGACATATGCATTAAGCTTTTGATCCATGGTCTTCCTGTAATGAGAGGGTTAACTGCCTGCAAAAAAAATCTAGTCCAATTTAAATTACCTCCAAGGCACCTGGCAATGCCCATTTCCTCAGACCTCTACCCACATTGGCTCTTAGTTTCCTACTGGTGCAGGAGCAAATTGCCACAACCCTGACAATTTAAGATTTATCATCCTACGTTTCTAGAAGTCAGAAGTCTCACTCAGGTCTCCCTGGGCTAAAATTACAGTGTGGACAGGGCTGCAGGCCATTTGGGAGGCTTAGGGGAGAATCTGTTCCTTGGACCTCATCCTCTTTTATCTGCAAACCCAGCGATAACCAGTGGAGCCTTTGTGACATCTCACAGGAAGTCATTCCAACCCTGACTCCTGTCTCCCCGTTCCATTTTTAAAGCCCTGATGATTACACAAGGCACCCTGGATAACCCAGGATAATCTTCTTATCTCCACGTCAGCTGAGTATCAACCTAATTCCATCCTTCCCCTTTCATGTAACAGAGCCACAGGCTCCCGGGGTGGATGTGGGCATTTTAGGGAGTGGCATAATTCTGCAGAACTATGAAGATCAGCCTTCTACATTTTTCCTGTTCTGAGTGAAAAAGTGACGTTCTGCTCTTTAAAGCGGCATTTTCTTGACTACTAGTGAAATTGAATATCTTTTTCTGTGTCTTGAGGCAAAACATTTTTGTAATCATAATTATTTGTACCCTTGTCTCCTTTTCTCCCAGGTGGCCGTTTTGGCCTTTCTACTCCCAGTTGAATTCTGAATCCCTTAAGAGCAGGGACCGCCTCATAGTCAATTTTGTGTCCCACCGAGAGCCTCAAAATGCACTGGGATTCAGAGAAAAGATTCAGTGCCTGTTGGTCTTTCCGCCCTCCCAAATGTCATCCCTCCTACTCTGTTCTCTTTGGAAGGAATGTCAGGAACCTTCTGGGTTAGCTGCCAGGGCTGAGTCTGTATATGGGAAGGTGTAGTGGGCCGAGACAAGTGTCTTGAGATTTCCACTTGGAGCTCTATACTCACTAGTTTCATAGCCATATTCAACCAACTTCAGTTTGAAAGTTTTTTTAAAAAACTGCTTTATTGGGCCGGGGATTTAGCTCAGTGGTTCTGCCGCCTGCCTCGAAAGCGCAAGGACCTGAGTTCAATCCCCAGTACCAAAAAAAAAAACAAAACAAACAACTGCTTTATACTAAAGTGTATGTACGTATGAGGTGTTGTAAGTAATCTACAGAGGATTTAAAGTATGCAGGAGGATGTGGCTGTGGCTTCTCTTGCCATTATGGGATCCTGGCTCTAGCAGACCCAAGAGTCCAGACCCTGGCTGTACCTCTTAACCCTCAGAGCCCTTTTTCTCATCTGTAAAAACAGTAGTAGTGATTCCTCACATTTTAGGATTGCTGAGAAAGTAACGGGAGTAATCAGCCACTCGACCTGGGAGGGAGATTCCTGGTGGCTGCCCCTCCAGCACCTTGTGGTGTTGATCTCAAGAGCAGATAGTGCTGCAGGGAGGGAACTGGCAGAAGCTGCTGGGCTCAAATGAATGCTACTCTGTGGGGGTGGCACAGATGGGTAATTCTAGGTCATTTCTAGGGTGTCAGGCAATGTGATTTCTTTTGGCATTTGTTAGAGAAATCACGGTAAGAGTTAAATTGCTCCTTGTTAATCTGAGAGTCCACCGGAAGAAGCCCCTGGTGAGCCCAGAGCCTGGTGAATGACAGTGACTTGTGCAGGCCCAGATGCACAGTGTCCTTTGGGGAGCTGTGTGGAGGGGGTGTCCAGTGGCACTGATAGGTCTCTTGGCCGGGCGAGCTCTGGTGAGCTTCCCTCACCTCTGGCTGTGCATCTGGAGCCCCGAGTTCCCTCTACTCAAGGGCTGCTGCTGGAAAGTGTCCCTCTACTCCAGCTAGCTGTATTCTATCCCCTTGTCCTCTCTGAGCCTCCATCTTCCAGCTGGCAACGGAGGGGAGGCTGCCACCCGCTGGGAAAGGTCCATATGAGAGCAAGGATGTCAAGCCCAGGATCCATGTGTGGTTGCTCTTGTTGTCCTGCCCTCCTTTTCTGGCCAGTTCCCAGACCTGAGCCTAAGAGGAGCTCTGATTCAGGCCCAGGCAGATAGGTGCCTTCCCTCCTCCACTGAGTGGATCCAGCAGCTGTGGGGAGAAGGTCCCTGGGCTGGCTCGAAGCTGGCAGCTGCCTTTGCCTCTCTGTCAAAGCCCTGGTACACCACGAAGGGCTCCCCCAGGCACAGCTACAGCCTTGAGGACAGATGGCCAGTGGTGCAGCCTCTGCTCTGGGCAGGAGGCCCCGCCAGGCCTCGCTTCCAGCTCTCCCTGTGCATCATGAGGAGCCTGGAACTCATTAGCGCTTATTAAACCCATCTGCTCCGAGTGCAAGACCAGCCCCGAGTCTCCAGTCCCTGCGCTGGGTGTGGGGGGAGATTGCACACAGGCAGTGACTGTGTGGCTCGGGTGTGGGATCGTCCAGGCTCCAGGGAGCTGGTGAGGGCAGTGGCCAAGAGCAGCCAGTGGCCTGGGCTCAGGAGTGGCCGAGTTCTCAGACCCTTACAGGCACGGCTTCCCCTTCCAGGGCACTGTGGGCCTGCCGCCTTGCATTTCACTGACGGAGCTGCCCCTCCTCCCTCCCCTAGGAGTGCATCATCGACGAGGACTGCGGCCTCTCCAAATACTGCCAGTTCGCCAGCTTCCAGTACACCTGCCAGCCGTGTCGGGACCAGCAGGCGGTGAGGATGCCCAGGGGTCTCCTGGGCTTCAGCACCAGACTCATGGGGCTGTGGGGGAGACTTCTCAGCTGAGCCGCCTGGAAGAGCCCTGCAGCGATGGAGTGAGCAGGAAGTCCTCCCAGACGGATTCACAGCCTGCTGCAGACTTGCTGCCCCCTCTGCCCCACCCCACGATCTCTGGGCACGTCTGCCGCATGGATGGCAGAGAAGGGAGGGCAGAGGGGAGAGGAGGAGGCCCCGGCCTGTCCCTTCCCATGGGATCCTATCTGGGAGATACAAAGCGGCACATCTGCAGCCCCCAGGCAGCTCCCTTCTCCTTCCGGGCCTGCAGCCCACCCCCAGATCTTTCTCCCAGTCTGCCTGCTCAGTAAGAGGCAGAAGGAGAAGGCAGAAAGAGGCTGGAGCTTTGCCTGTAGGGTTTCCCTGAGAAGCAAGAGGGCAGAGGACCTCTTCTCCCTCCCCACAGCAGACATTTGGGACAAAGTCATGGGCTCTCACACTTCGGGTCGTTTTTCCTTATTATGACAACACGGCCTGATAATAAGTTTCAAGAATAAAGGGGCCTCTTGCATGGCGAGGCAGCTGCTGTTGTACCTCTCAGCCCACCCTACATCGGCACAGCTATGGGGACCCACATTGTCCCCCGGCCACCACTATGCCCTGTGTGGCCGCAGCTCCCAGAACTCACTGCCTTCCCATCCTGGGCTTTCCCAGTGGGGACTGACCTGCCAGGTTCCTGGAGTGGCGCTGCTTCCTGCCCAGATGCGCCTTGAGCCCTCCTCCCTGACTAGGGGACTCATGAGGAGCTCAGCCCCAGAGACACCCAACCGTCCTTTGCAAAATCTTGCGCTTTGTCAAAAGACCAACACCCGCCTGGCCAGGTGGCATTTTCCAGTGTTTTGACCTCTCACGTCTGCACAGTGCAGTCAACTCAACCCACCTGACTTTCCCTGGGCCCTCACCCCCACCCTGACCACACCTCCTCCCGGGCTCCCAGGCCCGTGAGCCACGCCCTCGTGTTTCCTCCCACCTCTGCAGCTCTGCACCCGGAACAGTGAGTGCTGTGGAGACCAGCTGTGTGTCTGGGGTCACTGCACCAAAAAGGCCACCAGAGGTGGCAACGGGACCATCTGTGACAACCAGAGGGATTGCCAGCCTGGGCTGTGCTGCGCCTTCCAGAGAGGTGGGTGGAGGGGAACCAAGGAAAGCCCTGCTGGGCCTGCTGGGGCTGCAGCAGGACATCCATCCACACCTGCTCAGACTCCCCAACGCTCAATGCTCGCAGTGTGTGTCCGGCCCCGCTAGGTGGCCTGGAGGTGGCCTGGAGCGGGGAGACGGTGGTGTTTTGTTTTTCCCTTTGCTACCTGGCCGAGTTGAGTCCCGGCTTGAGCCCGGGGGATTCCAGCAGCCCCTCCCTGTCCCCTCACCTCATTGGCCCCGCCCTTCTTTCTGCCCATCGCCCCGCCCCTCCTGCTCCACGCTCGGTCCTCACCGCCTACCCTAGGTGAGGTCTGCCCACACCCACTCTGCTCCCGGAAGTGTGTCCCCCCAAGCTCCCTGCCCTCTCCCAGCTCCCCCCCCACCTCCCAGGCTCCTCCCTGTGCCTGCAGCCTGGGTGATTGTCTTTCAGGCCCTTGCTGGTAGTGCTGCTCTGGGGCTGGCAGCAGCTTCTGTCATCTCCCTCTTCCGAAGCCACCCACCTCCCGTTCTCTCCCGTCCCTCCCTCTTCAGCGCAGCCTTTCCCATGGCGCCTACCTGGCCCTAGGCTTTTGTCAGTGCCGTGCCCTGGTCTTGAATGCCTTGGTTGCGCTTGTAATCTCGCCAGGATTTTTGGCTCTCCAAACCCAGCTCTCCTCCTCCAGACAGACTCCCTGACTGCGCCAGGCCTCCCCCGTTGTCCCCTCCTGAGCTCAAACCCCCGTTCTCCTTTCCCCTTATTCCACTTCCTCGACCGTCACCTCACTTGGGGGCTTGGGGGAGTGCCCCCCTGTTGCTGCCCCTCTGTGGTGACTCTTGGCTGGTTCCAGGCCTGCTGTTCCCCGTGTGTACTCCGCTGCCCGTGGAGGGTGAGCTCTGCCATGACCCTTCCAGCCGGCTGCTGGACCTCATCACCTGGGAGCTGGAGCCTGACGGGGCTTTGGACCGGTGTCCATGTGCCAGTGGCCTCCTCTGCCAGCCCCACAGGTAAGGCGCCTCCGCTCCCTGCAGGGGGGGAGGGCAGGGCAGGAGCCTGCAGAGCTGTGGACTCAGTTTAGGGGGTTGGTTTGCCGGGACGTGGCCTTGGGCCATCCAGGGGAGGGTCCTGGAGGTGCCAGGCCTGTGTCATGGGCTTAACGGGTGCAGATTTGGGGCTCTGGAGATTGCAGCTTCCCAAGTGGATGACCCATGGAGGGAGAAGAGCAGAAGGCTGAGGAGGCACTCGGGCACATCATGGAGATGGAGATGGAGAGGGAGAGGAGCCGCTGGCGGAGGCAGGAGAGCAGTCAGGAGCCGGCCTCCACGGTGGAGGGGGTCAGCGCGTCAGAGGCTGCCAGAAAAGGCCTCGGGCATGGCCTCCATCTCCACACACCTTCCTGTCCTAGCAGAGCTTTCCAGAACAGCTAGATGGACAGACAGGAGTCCCTTCCTCCTCCCTGGGCTCCCCCTTGTGCAGCAGGTGTGGGGGTTAGACTGTGACTGCACCTCTCTGTCAGGCTGACTCTCGCCTGGAGGCCCAGGTCGACAGGGGGCTCAGAAGGTACAGTATGGTCTGGAACACCCAGATCCAAAATCCTCAGGACCCACCCCTGAGCTACTGAGCCACGAGTCAGTCTAGAAACAGGACATTCTTTCATTTGACCGTTCTTGGGCCACCTTGTCTGAGATGAGATGTTGACAGGAACTATGGGAGGAGGTGGTGGTGTGCAGGTGAGGCCAGAAGCCCCGAAGTCAGCAGCCTAGTCCTAGAGTCTAGCTGTGGCCCCATGGAGCGAACTTTGGCCAAGCCATAGCTGCATCTTCCCACAGCCAGAGCCTGGTGTACGTGTGCAAGCCAGCTTTCGACGGCAGCCGCGACCCCAACGGGGAGAGCCTGTTGCCCAGGGAGGCCCTCAATGAGGATGAAGACGGTGGCTTCATGGAGGAGGTGCGCCAGGAGCTGGAGGACCTGGAGCGGAGCCTGACCCAAGAGAGGGTGCTTGGGGAGCCCACTGCCACCGAGCTTCTAGGGGGAGAGGAGATCTAGATCCAGGCCTGGGCCATGGGTAGACGTGCAGTAGAAATAGGTAATTTATTTCCCAGGTGTGTCCCAGATGTGGGCTGGCCAGGCTTTCCCCATGTCCCCTTTCCAGTAAGTTTCCCTTTGGCTTGACACAATGAGGTGCTGTGTGTTTGTCCAGTTGCCCCCACCCCACTCCAGGCGTCAGTGTTCTGGGTAAGGTGGGGCATGGCAGAGAGAGGGTAGAACCCAGCTCCCTGAATCTTTCATTGGCCCCTTTGCCCCTGCAGGTGGACAGACATTGTGTTTTGGTCTATATGGATTTGGGAATTGTTTGAAGTGGGGGAGGAAAATGAGGTAGAGTCTGCCTAGGGTGGGTTTGGGGAAATGTGGAGGTGGGGGGCTGCTTTGCAAACATCAACCTGACAAAAAGGCAGCGAGTGATTTGTGCCGTTCTTTCCCTGGAGACAGGCATCTGGTGCTCGATCCGCTTTACATGCGCTCATTCACTCAGCTGTTTTGTTCAGTTCCTACCTCATGCCAGGACAGATTTTTCATACCCACCATTGAGTCACTCTCAGCCTGGGGACGGGAGTGTGTGGAGGCTCAGAGACCACGAGCTACTTGCCAAGCCACATGGCAAGTGAAGGGCAGACTGAGTTTTCCCCAGCGTCACTCCAAGTTAACCCACACCAATTTCAGTGTCACCAACAGAACCCCCCAAAGGAGAGATAATAATAATATTTGTGCCTGGAAGTAGCAGTGTGGGGTTGCCGTCATTCTAGTGGAGACCAGTGGTACGGACACTGTCTCCCCTTGAGGTATGCAGTAGTAACTTTGAAGGTCCATGATTAGAGCATAGAATCCAAGTTAACCTGCAGGAGACATACTTAGATAATTGCACGGCCCAGATTAGTAATGAGATTTGCAAAACCACTTAGAAGCAACTGAAGACCATTTTCAAGCACATGGAGAAAATCAATCCAAGCCAGGCTCTATGAAATATGGTTGTAATATCCAAACTGAGAACATGAAACTGGATGTCATTCTGCAAATGATATTTTCAGGTGCCAAGAACTGTTCCCATCATGTATTCGTCCAGAGTTATTAAACTTTAAAGTTGCACATGGTTGTATAAGCATGCTTTCTTTGGTTTTTAAATTATGTATAAACACATATGTTGCATTTAGAAATCAAGCATAAATCACTTTGACTACTCTTCTGTAATTCTTGGACTTTTTTTCTTCTGACTTTCAGTAAATATAAAACACTTTCAGCGAGAAAAAAAATAGAAATGATCTATATTACAAAAACAAAACAAAACAAAAAAGACATCTTCCATAGAAGCATGTTTCCCAGACATCTGAAGCAGGCCTCTTGTAGCATCAAAATATTTTAGAAATCTTAGGGTTTTTTTGGATAGGAGTTAGTCTTAAGGGTGTAAATACTCCACTATCTCTTGGAAGAACAAGTGGAATATAGATGTGTCTTTCCTTAAAAGCCTCTGTAACAGTCAAATGCATTTCTGGGCCTGTAACAAAATACCAGAGAAAGTAACTTGCAAAGAGAAACAGTTTATTTTGGCTAACAATCTTTGAGGTTTCAGTCCATGCTGCTGCTGCTTTGGATCTGCATGGGAGCGGCTCATCATGGTGGGGTGTGTGCAGGAGCCAAATCACTCACCTCATGGCTGGAAAGCAAGAGAGAGGAAGAGACTGGAGCCCCACAGTCCCTTCTCAGGGCCTGGCCCCAGTGACCTAGGGTCCACCACCTCCTCCCACCCCCACCATGCTGGGGACCAAGCCTCTAACGTGTGGGCTTTTCAGGGGCACTTCCTAACACAATAGGATCTTCAAGGACTGTAAGAATGAAGCCTCTGTGGGCTGAGGTCAGCTGGCACCAGATTGAACATTCCACCTCCCTACACGAACTCATTTCGTCTTCACTGAATTCCATGTATATTTTCATTGAACAGATGAAGAAGTGCAGGCAGAAAAGATTGACAGAGCTAGAAGTCTGACCAAAACAGTAGCTAGCTCAGTATACCCAGGATATCCTGATTATTCTGAGATCAAATATGGAGGTGTTCTCCATTTAGTGCCCAAACCCACTGGAACCACCCTGCAGCCTCTCAGATGCTGTGTCACTCAGCAGTGTGTACTGAGAGCCTGCTCAGAAGCAGGTGCTGTGATGAGCAATGGGGTGCCACGTTGGCCTGGGTAGAGTCCTTACCCTGAAGGCCTCAGCTAAACCAAGCAACAGAAAGAGGCAACCCGGGATCGGCGTGTTGGAGACCCAGTGCAGCACATGGTTTGGAGAGCTGGCAAGGGAATTGGCTTTTGGAGATGATAGCAGTTTTATCAGGATACCAGATGAAGCAGGACAGGCATTCTGGGCTATAGGCAGAGGGAGACCAGCAAGAGGGATGGGTGTTGTGTAGGGAAATCATGTAATTTGCAGTGGTTGGAAGGAAAGGAAAGCTTGAAAATGTGTGTTTGGAGAAGACACTGAAAATTATTTCATCCAACAAAAAAACGTATTAAGCACCTGCATGTGCCAGGCCCTATATTAGGTGCCAGAGAGAGTGGTAAATGAGATACACTTAGGTTGCTGTCTTCCGGAGGTTATATGCTGGCAGTGACCCTATGCCACTTTATTACTGTAGCCACTGAAATACAAGAACACAATCAGCTTCGCAACCTATTTAGCTAAAATGCACATGTAGTATAGATGTGGTGCCTACTCACAATTCAATGAAGTGTGCAAGGGTTGAGTGGAGTGTGGTTCTTGAATCTTTGTCATTCTCCTAGATTGATTTCCTCCCAAGGAAATCATGGCAGACACTGGCAGTTTGGCTACCGATGGCCACAGGATTCACTTCTGTGTGAGAAAATGGAAGGGCAAAGCTGCCAAAAGGCTTTTAGGAAGGATTTTTCCTCTGACAAGGGAAAGTGACAAGAAAAGAGCCCCTGTCCTCCACCCCAAGCTCTTTCCCTGCCTGGGATTACAGCTGTAGGATGTGCATTTGTCTGTGGGCAGCTATCTGAGGTCCCGGGATCAGGAGGCTCAGAGGGCATCTATTTCCTTGCCTCTTCTAGTCTCTCTGGGTAGCTCACATTCTTGGGCTCATGGCCCCTTCTTCAGGCCAGCAACAGGTCCATCTTCTTTTGAGTGCCATGGCTCTGGTTCTCTGCAGTGAAAGTTTCCCACTTTTAAGGACTCATAGGATTAGGCTGAGCCCACCTGGATGATGCAGAATAATCTTCCCATGCCAAGGTCTGTTACCTGCATCACATCTGCAGTCTACATGGCATTTGCCATGTAAGGTAGATATCCACAGGATCCAGAGTGTAGGCTGTTGGCATCTTTAGGCTACTGTTGTTCTGCTTACCACAGAAGGCTGAGACAGAGTCTCAATCCTTGGGATTGAGAGGAAACCAATTCTGGTCTCACCTTCTCCAGACACCTTTTAAGGTAAAACATCATTATAACTGAGGAAGCCCAAAGGCTGTTAGGAGGCCCAAAGCATTCCTGACACAGGAGCTGGCCACCGGGACACTCGCCAAAGCCCCTTTGGCCAGGTTCTCTGCTCTTTGTACACAGCCAGCTGGGAGGAGGGATGCAGGGCAGGATGGGTTTCTACACCCAGAGGGTCAACATCTGAGGAGCGAGGCACCTGCACACAACTGGTTGGTGCTGCCACCCGTGTTCGTGGCACTACAATAGCCCCATTATAAAGAAGCCTGGAGGGAGATGAAATGTGCTTTTGGAAGGGTGCAGTGTTCAGGGGACAGACTACTGCCCCCCTCCCCCCACAGACTTCCTGTAAAGGAGAAAAAACTAAACTTACTCCCTTAGCCAAAAAACTATGAGGGGAACTTTAAGGGAAACAGAAACTTTGTATAGGAGCTGCTGACAGCTAACAGGGGAAGCCAAGTCATGTAGACTTGCACCCATCTTGACAAGAAGGGATGAAGCATCAGCCAGAATGGCTGCCAAGTACAGCTGTAGGGGAAAGGACCAATTCTTTGTCTTCGGTAGCTTTCAAGGGGCAAACAAGATGGATTCTGACAGCATCCACATCCCCAGAGCTAGGACAGGAAAAGAGATGAAATTATTGGCCAACCAGTGCAGCATGGGATAGTGGTGCATGTGCCAGGGAAGGTCTATTGCAGGAGGTTACAAAGAGTAGTCATTTCATGAGGGACCACCAATGCTGTCTAGAGTTGAGTCCTTGAGGACAAAACCTGTAGGGCATCTACCATCAAGCCTGTAAGAATAATGACCAGATGAAAGGATCATGCGCCATCAGTATAGTGGTGCAGGAAGAGCAGGTGGGACCACAGTGCCCTCCTGCCCACTCACAGCAGGGACAGCACAGCTAGTGGGTACTGTATGGGACAGAGGGAGCTCTGAATGATGACTGTCTTAATAATGAACAGTGACTTGAAAGTTACAGGATTGCACTGAGGGCTTGATGAGCACTCACTTGCCAGTGGGAAGCTACATTAGATGGAACACAGTTGGCAGTTATTGGAAAAGCAGCCATTGCTGTATCTCCACAAGTTGATACTCTTCTAAACAGGCAACTTAAACATTATATTAGAGGCTGTAAACAGTGGTCCCCTCTGTATGTTGGGGAGCGGGGAAGTTGGGGTCACAGAAAGCAGAAGGAAGGTGGTGCTTGGCCTGCACCTTTAAAGCTATGCTATAGGGTCCACCGGTAATTTGGACGTGGTGAATTCTTAGGTTCTAACCAATCAAAGCCAACTCCTCTTGTGCAGCTGAGGGTGGAAAGAGGCAGTGCTGTCATGGGGAAGAGGCAGAGCATTCTTGATGCCTTTTTGGCTTCCTAGCTTGGTCCCTACTACTAGGTGCATGTTTTTCTAAGTGGTCATGTATGCTTCAATGCATTCTGGTGTTTGTCCAGTTATCTTGCTTCTGAAAGCTGAGTTGTGAAAATTAACTCTAGTGTGCCCAAATAATCATGGCCTCCCTCTTCCTCTCGTGAACTATACTAAAGGAGCGTATAGGACCAGGAACTCCTGGAATATCCAGGAATATATCCAGGAACTCCAGGAGCTCCAAGTTCCTTGGACCAGGAACTCCTTTGAACATCTGATAAAAACCATCTACTGGCCCTCTAGAAAATCATGCAATTTTGCATTTGATTTCAGGATTCAGAGCCTTATAAGGATTTTGACTGTCAAGTGGCCGAAATATTGTTTTTCAAAGATTACACAGAATTGTTTGGATGGAACAGTTTTATTTAGCAAACAAGAAACTCACTGATTCAAAGTATCTCCTTGTACTGCACTCTAGACTACAATTTGCAAGTCACAAGCGCAAGAGTTGTTAGAGCCTTGATGCTCAACAAAGGGACAAAGTCCAGAAGGAGAACTACAACACCCAACTGGAGGGAAATACAAGCAAATGAACCAGAACAGATTTTACTGTATTCCATACATTCACAGGTCACTTCCAGATTCAGCACCAACACCACCACCACCACTCGGCGATGCTCAGCCCAGTGCAGCAGTGGCTCTCCTGCCCTCGCAGCCTCAGGTGAACCACAATACCACTGACAGTGTGGCTGGGAGCCAGTGGCTCTTTTGATTGTTTTGGTTTTTTCTAACTGGGGCATAGGTTCTCCCTATGTTCTCAGAAGTGATTTCCATTGTAAGAGATCAACACACTTCTTTAGTTTGAGAAGTGGGCCTTTAGTGAGTTTTTGTACTGACTGGCTGAACAGGGCATGATCCTGAGACCACAGCTTTGCTCTCTGTGGCCAGGATGCACCTCTTGCCTCAGCGCCTCCCTCGGCAATGCAGGGTCTTGGTCCTTACAGGTGTGCACGGCTGATGTGAACTGCTTTGCCCCACATAAAAGGTTCCCAAAGCCTCTGTCTGACCTGTGGGGAGCAGGGTCACAGCACTGTGTGGCCTGCCTCGGCCGTAGGAGCTGGTGATCATCAGGCTCCATGGCCCCTGAGCCACTCAGCGGTTATAGATGCTCCCTTACTCTCTAAGGCCCGGGGAGGAAACCTCAGGTACGCTACTCTTTCTACCCCAACAAATTCACTTTGAAGAACTTGTCATCTCCCACAAAAGTGTAATATTGTGTTTTCATTCATTCTACCAGGCACTGAAAAGCAAGAAGTTTTTTAAATTTTCACTTACGTAATGAAGTATCTTTTCTACTCTTGGTATTTGCAATAT